ATGGCACATACAATTACATGACTACACACCAGTATCATACAAACCCTACAGATTACCTTATAGTGAAACATTAGTTGTACGCGACATAGTAAACGAATTTATGAACGCCAAAATAATCCGTGAATCCAACTCATCCTATGCAAGTAAAAAATGAAGAACACCATTTGTGCGTCGACTATCGACAACATCGCCGATCACGATACAGAAGATTATTTTAATGACCAAATAACGCAACCTATATTAAATTTTCAACTCAATATTGGAGGTGATGAGGATAACATTGTCATTACAGTAGTCATATGCGCTGTACATATCCTACAACTCGCAATGCAAGATGCTTGCAATGATAACATCAAACAACGCATAATAACTAATTCCCGAGATATAATAAACTTCGCTTAGAACACCAACATTCACTATAATTTTCTTGAACAGACATTGTCATCCTTGATGACGTTGGCCAAGCCAGTATCCGCCCAAAATGGACCGTCGTTCACAAAGCGCTGGCATCAGTCCAGGCAGCCGACCTCGTTATCCCTGAGACCTGGCCTTCGATTATATCCCTGGCCACGCACTTCCAAAACATAATAGCGGTCAGAGACGACTTGAGGGCGGAAATTGTTGACAAGGTTATCTCGTTAGAGCTAACCGGTATTCGGGGTGCCATATTATCCCAGATCAAATCGGTCTGGGGTTACTCCTCCCTCAAAGCTGTACAATATATGGATGCGTTTACTAAGTCCCACTGTAGGGCCTTAGAATACCAGTTGTGCTGGACCAAGCCCTCAGACTTCAAGCCCGTTGGACGAAGGCGCATGAAGACGACCCTAATATAGCATATAGCCGAGTTCGTAACCCATCCAGCCATAGTGAGCTGAATCACTCCCACTATCCTGACCTTTATTATGCATCAATTGCTTACGCGAAAATAAACAAACTGGTACGATACCTTCCAGTTATTATAAGCACACACCTCAAGACACGCATATCTTATCGAAAAGTACATTAGAAAGACTGCAGACGCAGAGTTGGGCGAGATGTCGGAGGAGACCAAAAACAAGTTATCTCGCCTTGGATATCCTGTGGCAAAAAGAAGACGGCGCCACTCTGAGAGTGACTAGGAGGAGAGCGAGCCTGTGAGAAGGAGATCTCGCAGATAAAACACTCCACATTCTTTTCAGATAATTAATTTTAACGCCTAGATTAAGATGTAATAATTTTGTGAGAAAAAAGAAAGATGTAGTTATAGATTGCTCCACGAGATGGCATTCTACGATAGATAATATGGTTGAAAGTATTTTAAACCTACAAGATATATGTGCAACAATTGAACTGCTATACTTTCCTGATGAGACCTAGAATGATCTAGATTTATTTTTGACAACTATGCTTCCAGGAAAGAAGCTTACTAAAACTTTGCAATAAGAACAGCTTACTATGGATGATTTTTATATGTGAATGGATGAAATGTCAATTTGAACTGACAGACAGGCTGTTTTATTTGACAATAACAAAGAATATATACACTACGCGAAAAGAAACGACACTTAAGCATGTGTGCACGTAAAATCGCTTGCGGCTATGTGTGGGTGTCTGGATGTGTGCGGGGGCCTTGAGAGGCGCGCGGGGTTTTTTTTCATGGAACGGGCAGTATACAGCCGACTGCTTTTGGGCCGAGGGACTAGTAGTTTATAATACCGGTTTTTGTCAGTTATTAGTTTAATCTTTCTTATAAATACTATTCGTCAAGTGATATAATTATTTCAATTAATATATGCAATATTACGTGAGGTATTTCCCCTTAATGTACATATTACTATTCTATTCATGTAGGTATTAAGTTTATATTACCAAGTAACGTTATTAGTTTCTATAGCCGGTTTATATGCTTTGATAAATATTAATGTTGTTATTAAATAAATGATATTATAGTATATGTATAAAGTATTACCGAAAGTGATTTTAAGTGCTTAGAATTAAAATAAATTCCACTGCACCTTGTTTTGTAGTTTTTTTAATAATATTCTATGATATCTAAAAATATTTGAACTCATTTTAATGAAAGTCGATATGATCTTAACAAGAATTATGGGGAAATACCATGACAATAAAACTAATATATCGCGAATAATTTTATTATATTACATTAACTGAAATATACACTATTAAAAATACCACTAGAGAGTCAAGAAATTTTAGATATCTATAAAGAGTTTTTGTATTTGTTCATTGTTGTATTTATGGATTATTTCATTAGAAATAAAAATGACTTATCTCCTCAACACATATGGAACAATTTTTGGCCCTGGCCATGTCCCAGGAAACCTGCATACCTTTGGATTTTCTAAAAAAATATACATGCTACGAATTTTTGCAATTGTTAGAAATGATAATGAAAATTAAAAAAATAATCAAAAAATTAAAAAATATATAAGAGTAAATTATTTTTAAAGGATAGTAGGTAATACTGATTATTGCGTACTGAAATACTAAGTGTTGGTTAATTATTTAAGATTACCATTAACTGTCATGCATATTTGGTTTTGTCGGAAGTTTTAATATGCCTCATTTAATGAAAGGCGACTTAAAATTGAACGTATCTTTCACTACCCAAATACATAAGTTTACATAATATATAACATATACCTACTATGTATCTTCTTTGGTACAAGTCTATATAGACCGGGAGCTGGTGACAGGTGACGTTCCACGATTTTGTCGTGCATGCCTTTTTAAGGCTTGATAACTAACCCTAAAATATCAAAGATTGTCGGGGCTTTAGTCCCCCCGCATGTCCTCTTCATAAGGAAAAGCGCTTTTCTTTGTGTAGCGAATTTTCGTGTTTTCCGTGATAGTACACTGCATGCCATTGTAATATACGGAAGTTCTAGCAAATTGAAGCTCTAATAATTGATGGCATGCACCCCGCAGCTGCTCAAGATGATCAAAAGGTTCTGAAAACCTGAAAAAAATTAAAGAGCAATTCCGTGTTTTCAAATTGCATGCCGATGTAAAGAATGGAAGTTTTCGTAATAAAAACACTTTGGAAAAATTGGCATGCACCCCTCGTATGACCATGGCATGCAGTTTGGAATCACGGAAAATCGGAGTTAAATTTTTACAGAGTTTTCCGGAAATTTTCCACCGTTGGTCATATATAAATATATATATATATATATATATATATATATATATATATATATATATATATATATATATATATATATATATGCCAAATCGATTGAGAAAAACACACAATCACCTTTCGGTAGTTTAACCTGGGGTTAAACCTTCAATATATAGGCACATTTTATATATAGTACTTTATTTATAATGATTTTTTTTATATTTTTTATAATGATTAATATAATATATATTTATTTACTATTATTAAAAATATATTATGTCTGTATGTGTATCTTAGTAAAGTACTTTAACAATTACTTTATTCATTTAACAACAAAAACAATTAATTTATAACATATAAAGATTCGAGTGATAATGACACCGAATATATACGTACTTATTCAAAAGATAAAACTTTATTTTCAATATTAAATAAGAACTTTATTTTTATTTGGTGCAATCATCACTCGTATCTCGGACCGGCCCAAAAAAGGTGACGCATCTCTGGCTGCCATTGTCACGTTTCTTTTAGAACGAACTGACGTAACGCGCGTTTTGTTTATTTTAAAGGGGTGAATTTGCAAAAGCTCAATATGGTGATTATATTGCTTCAAATATTTTTTTTAATATGAAACTGTTATTAAATGAATTACTGCGTTACTTACCATAAATTGAAATATAAAATATAACACATTTTTTGCGATGTACTGTAAGATATTACGATGTTTACCACTGACAATATTACCTAAGAAACAAAAAAAAACATATGTGCTGACCTAGAAGTATGAATAATATCAATATTTAAGAGGTGAGAGTAAGTCAGCTCAAATTCTAATTTCGCCCCCACTTCCCCGCGCGTCGTATGCTATGTACCGACATGTTTGTAATCACTAATACTCTAAGTAGATAGGTCGTTAGATACTTATTTCATTAGGTTTATCATATTTATGCCTGTTTCTTAACGCCAACCCAGTCGCTTCTTATTTTTATAACGGTTATTTCCCATTTTAATTTTACGTCTTCCTGTTGCGTAATGTGTTTTCTGATCGTAAGCGACACAACTTCTCCCTTCAAAAGCCGGAGCAATACTAACGGAGCGACAGGAATCAAGCTTACGCACCGATAGTTTAGGTAATTTCTTTTTACAGTGAAAATAATGGTATTTAAAAAAAGTAAATAACATAAGCACTGCTTTATAGTTAGTTCAGTTAGTATGCAAAGTTTCATGATCTTATTTAAAGTATTTTATGAATAACAGCGGTTTATTGTTCAGTTTGGAGGTAACTTTGGATTTTTTTTCTATCGAGAAAATTTTACGGAATCGTGTTTTCGTCTAACATAAACCTTAACATTAATCCTCAACTTTACCATATATTTATTTCAAAATTAATGCTGCAATACTTTCGGCATAACGGAGGATCTTGCTAAGCCATTTGAGGTTATATTTCCCCTTAAATATTGTTATCACATCTAAATTGAGATTTTGTAAGTTACGCCTTTTCACACTCGGCTCATATCTGAGGTCATTGTCCGTTTTTCTCAATCGATTTGGCACACTATATATACTTTATGGTACGTAATAGCATGCGTTCACAATTTGAATGATCGACCTGAATGACCCGGTACGTTGTGTTTATCCCCACCATTTATCGTCACACTAAAGGGTTGCGGATCAGAATTTCAAACGCCTCCGGTAAAAAATTTCACTTCAAAAATCATAAAACAATTGAGATAACACACAATATGAAATAAAATGTGTTATATCAAACTCTTTGTCTAAAAAGCAAGATAAGTTTCTAATTTTACTCGTTCATAGTCTCTCTTTAGCTTCTTTTTGGCTATATTCTTTTCTTTGGCTAATTGGTCTGAAACCTTTACGGCTTAAGTGTAGCAAATGTGTGCGCCCTTGTGTGCTGCTTGAGGTCGCTGGTTTTTCTGAACTTCATGTTGCATAAAGAGCAATCTGCTACGGTCTTCCTCTCTTGGTGTTCCAGCCACATGTGGTCCCGTTTGTCCTTGTAGCTACCGAACCTCTTCTCGCATATCAAACATGCAAAATACTCGCGCATGTGTTTGTATTTTAAGTGTCTTTTCAAATTTGCTGCGGTAGAAAATGACATGTCACACTGTAGGCAAGAGGTGGGCGGGCGTGCTTCGTGCATCTGAAATGAAAGGCAAACAATGTCTAGTTTTATGCACTGTATTTTAGTTTTATTATCTAGACTATACGGCAGTGTGTCAGTCAAGTTTTGTTTTACTTCATACAATCCAGTGCTTGATCATAATCCCACGTGGTTATAAGTGGTGACGTAGCCCTAGATCATAGAACATCACACTGCCTTAGCGTGATAAATCCTATTCACTATTGCCTTGAAGACGCCCAGATAGTATTCGCACGGAAAGATAGATGACGGCAAATTATTCCACTCCTTTGCTGTACACATTGCAAAGAACGAAGCAAACCGTTTGGTTCTAATGCGTGGAATATCGACAACAAAGATGTGAAGACCCACCGACCGCCTGGTTGTCTGATGGTGGAAAGGAGAAGGAAGAATGGAAAAATGTTACAGAGAGCACGAGGGATCTGTGACTGCAAACACCTGGCCGCCGAGCTTCAGCACGTCAAGCAAGTTTTGCACGACAAGCTTCGGGTCCCGCGCCTACGTCACAGTGACCGAGTGAAGCCGGGCACAGTCGAGCGTGTGCCTGCTGTACTACCATATGTCAGAGGTGTCACAGACAAGATTGGCTATATCTTGAAGCGAGCTTCTATTGAACATTCTACAAGCCGCCGAAGAAGATTAGTCAGTTCCTACCATCCGTCAAGTGTCATATTCCTCTACAAGATGCAGGAGTGTACAAGCTTGATTGTGAATGTGGTCTCTCTTATATAGGACAAACAAAAAGATCAATTAGGACCCGCGTAAAAGAACATATAGCTGATGTGAAGCATCAACGTTCCGGGAAGTCTGCAGTTTGTGATCATATCCTAGACGGACCCAACCATTACATCAGATTTGATAGACCACAAATCCTCGCGAAAGAACACCGATTCCTACCAAGGATGATACGTGAGGCTATTGAAATTAAAAAACATCCTAATTTCAATAGAGAAGGAGGCTGGGTACTACCACCTGCTTGGGATCCTATAATCAATAAAATTAAAACTAAACCCAAGCATACCACTGCAAGACCTCAGGACATAGTCAGTTCATTTTGCATAGATCGGACCATAAACAATAATTAAAAAAGCTGAAGGTACTCCGGGTTTAACAATGACATCGGGACGTCAGTCATCTCAGTCCCCCGTGACCATGGGTGCTGGAAAGCGCCCGAAACTTCGGGAATTAAAAATAAAAGTAAATAAAAATTAAAAATAAACGCGATAAAATCCGTAAAAGTAGTTTTAATCATGTATAGTGTTCGCGTAAATATAAGAAATCAATAAGAAGAATTAAAGCATGTAATTCTTGCGCATGAGTTCCAAAAAGGAAAAGGGCGACACACCGATAGATTGTATATTTACATATTTCTTTTATAAAAACACCTCCACACTAGGATTTCCTCATGTATCGTGGAGCAGTTTACAAACATAAATTGCACAGGGACAAACATGCAGACCCGGAACAATTATTTGTAGGCCACACAAATACTGATACGTGCGCGATTTGAACCCGCGGCCCTCAGCGCCGACACTTAATGCTAAGCCCTGGCACCACGGGAGCTGTCGATCAACATGAACCATTTCCAGCTAGTTTAAATACAACTACTAAAACTATTAGACCTGCACACTTATTTTTTGCATACCTTTAAGCTCAAACTTCATGAATGAAACTTTGGTAATTCTTTAGTTAAGGTCTGAAAAGCGCCATTCTTAATCACTCACTGGCAGTTCTAAGAACATTTTACATTCTTATAAGTAAATCCTATGATTCAAGCAACTGCTATGGACAGATATTAACTCTTTATATCTGCGAAGCCATGTCGTTTGTAAGGAATTTGCCCCCTTTTCACATTTATGTTTTTGCTTACATTAGTGTTATTGTCTAAACTTGCGGATGTTGAAATTAAACTCCAGATGTCACCAGTAGTTAAACAATTTATTTTCATAATAATTCTCAGACCCTATACGGTTTGCCGTAAACGAAAAGATAACGAACGATTGTAATTCGACGCTCGCGACATCTCTTGACATTTTTCAGTACTAAATACTAAGGTTAGATTAGAACTGAAATTTTAAACATCCCGCCCACCAAAGGACTCCGTCCTTTCATAAAAGAAATTTAAAATTTGCAGTCTCAAATTCTTGACAGCCTTGGCTCTCATACATTTTGTGGTCCCTTAGCCATGTGGGTCCGTGCCACCACAACTCGTGATCAACCAACTCTTCACTGCTTATGCCTCGGCATGCACAATCCGCCGGATTATGTTTTGTGTTTACATATCTCCATTGACTATCCAGTATTGTAAGAATCTCTAATACTTTGTTGCTCACAAAAGTCACCCAACGATGAGGTTCTCCTGCAATCCATGCCTACGGTGCTATCCGACCAGGCGTATAATTTTTCCTTTGGTATTTTCATAACTTGGGAAACTTCATGTATCAACTTTGCGGCAAGAAGTGCAGCACACAACTCTAAGCGAGGTATGGACATCTCTTTTTGAACTGGCGCCACCTTAGTTTTGGATGTAACCAGATTAATAGCAACTTTACCATCCTTGTCTTCAGTTTTCAGGTAAACAACTGCAGCATATCCAGCTTGGGAAGCATCTGCAAAGGTGTGTAGCTCAACATGATCCTCTCTTTTTGTTTGCAGCCATCTTGGAATAATAAGCCTAGGAACATTTACTAGATCATCTCTAAATTTACACCATTCGCGAAGGAGTTCCAACGGCAAGTTTTCATCCAAATCGAGACCAGACTTTCAGAGTTTTTGGATGAAGACTTTACCCACAAATATCACAGGCGCGATCCACCCGATTGGATCATAAAGTCTTGCAATTTCGGATAACACAGATCTCTTAGTCACCGTCTCATTCTTCATAGGAAGTTGTAAATTGTATTCGAAGTTGTCAGTGCTCTTGTTCCAAGATATACCCAATACTTTGACCATGTGATTAAATTTGAAACCAATAGTTCTATCTGTACACAAATTCTCAGTCTTAATGTGCTCAAGTAACTGATCATTGTTGCTAAACCACTTTTGCAGTTCTAAACCTCCGGCTCTCATCAGGTTCGTCATCTGCTCATAAATCTCTATGGATTCCTCATAAGTCTCGCATCCCGATAGCAAATCGTCCATGTAATAGTCCTCAAGTGTGATCTGAGATGCTACAGGATACTTTGCAAACTCATCCATTGCCAGCGTTTGCAAAGACTTAACCGCTAAATACGGCGCTGACGCCGTACCGAACGCCAGTCGCTTCATTCGAAAATGCTGTATTGGCTCTTTGGGATCTGATCTCCATAATATGCGCCGTAAGTCAGTATCTGGCTCCTGGACTATTACCTGGCGATACATCTGCTTAATATCCGCCACAATTCAGATCGGATGTCGTCTCCATCTCATTAAGATATGGCGTAATTCCTGCTGTATCTTGGGACCGACGAGCAGTTCTTCATTTAAAGAAACATTGTTCTTTCCTTTGCACGAAAAATCAAAGACCAATCTCGTTTTGGTCGTCTCTTTATCTTCTCGCACAACTGCGTGGTGAGGAGCATACACTACTGTCGGATCTTTCACTTGCTCTTCCTCAATGATAGGAGCAATATGATCCTGAATCAAATAGTCATCGATAGCTTTTGTATAATTTTCACGTAAAGATGGATTTCTCAAAAGCTTCTTCTCTAAATAGGTAAACCTCTTCAGCGTTTGCACTTTTGAAGGGTAGTCTCACCATGTAACGTCCGTTCATGTCTCTCATTGTGGTCCTTTTATAAATTTCTTCGCACCTCATTTCTTCTTCTGTCATCTTTTTTTTCGATTTTGTCTGGCTCTCTATCTCCCAGAACTTTTTCAGAAGCTCATCTTCATTAACTCGGATATGAAGACTGATGGGAAAAGAACATGCTCCAGGGAACTCGTTGTCGATTTTACTGGACAAAATCCAACCAAGTTCAGTATTTTGAGCAAGTGGACCACCTGGCTCTGCAGAAGGATGTTTAATAAGACCCTCTTTAATTATCCCACTGTGAACATCGACTCCTAAAATGACATCTATTTTACTAGGATATCTATATTGTGGATCAGCTAGAGAAAGATTGTCAAGCTCAGGCCAATTTAGATTTTCAAGTTTTGCGCGAAGGCAGTAATGAAGTCAAACTCTTCAACACATAGGCGTCTCTAACTGGAAATGAAAACTCAGGATTAAGCAAAGACTCAATACTGAATTATAGAATTTATAAAGTTAAGATGGTCTAAAAATGCAGTTACTTTATCTAAAGGTAGAATTGTGAAAGTGTCATCTACATACCGCTTGTAGAATCTTGGATTTATGGGAGAACTAAGCAGGGCTTTCTCCTCAAAGTCTTCCATGAATATGTCGGCGACAATGGGAGATACAGGTGAGCCAATCGCCACACCACCTACTTGCTTGTAGAACTCCTCCTTCCACAATAGATAGCCAGATGTAAGGCAGTGTCTGAGTAATACTGCATATTCTACGGGCATGTTGTTTTCTTCCAGCCTTCTAGTTACAATTGAGATGCAGTCTTCAACAGGTAAGCATGTAAACAATGACTGCACATCAAAACTGACCATAGTTTCATTGTCTGCCAGATGTAGGTCTTTAATCTCGCTGACAAAATGGTAGGAATCCTTTATGTGTGCTCTTGTATGTCCCCTGAGCGGTGAGAGTATTTTCGCTAAGTGTTGAGCCAATCTGTAAGTTGGTGAATCGATTTGGCTCACTATGGGACGTAATGAAGCATTGGGCTTGTGTATTTTTGGTAACCCATACAATTTTGGTGATTTGGCGCACGTAGGTATTATCGATTTTACGTCCAGATTTAATTGGACCGCCCGTGACCATGAGTGCTGTAAAGCGTTCGAAACGTCGGGTATTTAAAAAGTTAAATATACGCAATAAATTCCGTAAAAACTAGTATTATTTCAATATTATGGAAATTAAGTTAAGTCATTTTATCAAACCAAAATTGATTGAATTTCATGGTGGTACGTAGAAAATTAATATAAATCGGTAAATTATAAAATTGTGCACTGGTATAATGATATTAAAAATAAACAAATTTATTAAATAGGTAGATAAAATATATAATAATATTGAATAAAATTATCATGTTCGTCCAATCCATTCATAACAATCCATGATTTCAAAACTTACCGATTTATTCTTTTGGGTTTACTACATGTGGTACGTAGACTTGAGAGTCAATCAATTTTTGTTATGATAAAATGACTTTACTAATAGAATATAGCCGATGGCGTTATTACTTGGCTACTGCTGCGTGTGCGCTGCATACATGTTTTTGTTATCTATACAATAATTAATATTGTGTCAAATGCGATCACTCCTTCTAAAATAAATACCTTGGTATCTGTTTTAAATAAAATTAATATAAGATTAGTATATAATTTAAGCCAAGATACTGCAGACGCGTTTGTATGTGACTTTGAAATAATCATGTAAATGACTTAACCTGTAGCGTCGTCATTTTAACCAAGATACTGCAGACGCATTTGTATGTGACTTTGAGATAATCATGTAAATGACTTAGTTACAACTTTACAAAACTGTTGTGTCTTTCGTGGTGGTACATGTTTATAAGATATGAAAACTGACAATTTTTTCTTTATTGAACGGTAAAATAACGAATTTGTTTGTTTGAACGAAAGACTGTTGTAATCATGAATTGAATTACTATATACTTTATGGCACGTAATGGCCTGCATTCACGATTTGAATGATCGACCTGAATGACCCCGTACGTTGTGTTTATCTCCCACCACTTTTCGTCACACTAAAAGGTTGCAGATCAGAACTTCGAACCCCTCCGGCAAGGATCATAAAACAATTGAGATAACACACAAAATGAAATAAAATGTGTTCCATCAAAATCTATGTCAAAAAATCAAGATAAGTTTCTAATTCTACTCATTCATAGTCTCTCTTCATCATCAGATCACGGATCAGAGACGTAGTCCTTCACTGCTGGCCGTATGAGGACGCTCAAGGTCGCTCAGCGAGCTATGGAGAGGGCTATGCTCGGAGTTTCTCTGCGTGATAGACTCAGAAATGAGGATATCCGCAGTAAAACCAGAGTGACCGACATAGCCCAACGGATTAGTAAGCTGAAGTGGCAATGGGCCGGCCATATAGCTCGAAGAACTGATAACCGATGGGGAAGAAAGGTTCTCGAGTGGCAGCCTCGTACCGGTAGGCGTAGTGTAGGGCGACCCCCCACTAGATGGAGTGACGACCTGTTAAGACATGCAGGAAGTCGATGGATGCAGGTGGCTCAGGACCGTGCTTTGTGGCATTACTTGGGGGAGGCCTATGTTCAGCAGTGGACTTGTGAAGGGCTGTAATGATGATGATGATGATGATAGTCTCTCTTTAGCTTGGCTAATTGGTCTGAATTGAATCTCATGAATTGAATTACTATATACTTTATGGTACGTAATGGCCTGCATTCACGATTTGAATGATCGACCTGAATGACCCCGTACGTTGTTTATCCCCCACCACTTTTCGTCACACTAAAAGTTTGCGGATCAGAACTTCGAACCCCTCCCGTAAAAAGTTTCACTGCAAGGATCATAAAACAATTGAGATAACACACAATATGAAGTAAAATGTGTTCTATCAAAATCTATGTCGAAAAATCAAGATAAGTTTCTAATTTTACTCATTCATAGTATCTTTAGTTACTTTTTGCTATCTTTTCTTCTTTGGCTAATTGGTCTAAAAAACTATTACGGCTTAGGTAATTGTAACAAATGTACCTCCATTAAGTGCTGCTGGAGGTCACTGGTTTTTCTGAACTTCATGTTGCATAAAGAGCAATCTGCTACCGTCTTCCTCTCTTGGTGTTCCAGCCACATGTGGTCCCATTTGTCCTTGTAGCTCCCGAACCTCTTCTTGCATATTATACATGCATAATTCCGATTGTGTCTTGATTTTAAGTGTGTTTTCAACTTTGCTTCGGTAGAAAATGACATGTCACAGTGTAGGCAAGTGGCGGGCGGGCGTGCTTCATGCTGAAATCAAAGGCAGACATTAAGATACGTAGTTGTTTAACAATGTCTAGTTTTATGCACTGTATTTTAGTTTTGTTATCTAAACTATACGGCAGTGTGTTAGTCAAGTTTTTTTTTACTTCATACAATCCAGTGCTTGACCATAATCCCACGTGGTTATATGTGGTGACGTAGCCCTACATTGTATATCACACTGTCTTAGCGTGATAAATCCTATTCATTATTGCCTTGAAGACGCCCAGATAGTATTCGCACGGAAAGATAGACGACGGCAAATTATTCCACTCCTTTGCTGTACGCATTACAAAGAACGAAGTAAACTGTTTGGTTCTAATGCGTGGAATATCGACAACAAAGATGTGAAGACCCACCGACCGCCTGGTCGTCTGATGGTGGAAAAGAGAAGGCAGAATTAAAGCACGTAGCTCCCGCGCACAAGTTCCAAAAATGAAAAGGGTGACGCACCGACAGCTTGTATATTTACATATTTATTTTATGAAAACACCTCCACACTAGGATTTCCTCATGTATCGTGGAGCAGTTTACAAACATAAATTGCACAGGGACAAACATGCAGACCCGGAACAATTATTTGTAGGCCACACAAATACTGATACGTGCGCGATTTGAACCCGCGGCCCTCAGCGCCGCAACTTAATGCTAACCACGAGAGCCGTCGATAAACATGAACCATTTCGAGCTACTTTAACCTCTCAACCCCCTAGCGGTCACATGAGACCGCGGCCATATTCCGTCAAATCCCTAGCGGTCGCACCCACCCACAGCACTTTAACCCATAAAAACTTATATACAAGGTGTAAGTGTAAACACCATTGTCACTAAAACCATAGGTTTATAAAGAAATTATTTACGTTAAAAAATTAATATTCAAACAAAAACTTTCATTACAATTTTATAAGAAAACACTATAGTAAAACACTAAAAAAATCCAAAAATCAACACAATAACATTCACGCGAAAATAGCGTACGAAATAAACGTAGATTTTATATTGAAATAATTGTGATTTTTACGCTGCCGACATTCGCTTGGTATGCTTTTTTTGTTATCAAAATACAATAAAATCTTTTTGTAATGAAGTAAAACCTGACTTTTGTTTGGATCACAAGATAGAGAATTTTGTGTAGATTTTATAATGCTAAACTTCTTCATAGAAAAGTAGTCTCTAGATATAAGTTTTAATGGTTTTAAGTGCTGTGGGTGGGTGCGGGCGCATGCGACTGCATGGGATTTTTTATGGCACTTTAAATGGTTAACTACAACTATTAAAACGCACACTTATTTTTTGCATACCTTGAAGCTCAAACTTCACGAATGAAACTTTTGTAAATCTTGAGTATAATGTCTGAAAAGCTCCATTATTAATCACTCACTGGCAGTTCTAAGAACATTGTACATTTTTATTGGTAAATCCTAAGATTCAAGCAACTGCTATGGACATATGTTAACTCTTTATATCTGCGAAGCCACGTCGTTTGTAAGGAATTTGCCCCCTTTTCACATTTATGTTTTTGGTGACATTAGTGTTATCATTTTCTATTTTATATTACGAAAAAAGGCTGGTATTTTTTTTCGTCACCAAAACATCCAACTTGTAATGCTTTGAAACCTGTCTTATAACATAAATCAACATGTTTTGTTGGTGCTTGCGATTCCACTAGAGAAAAATGTGTAAATTTTGCGACACACATTGAATAAACACTTTTATAATATAATGTATATTATTTGCTTGTTTCTTTTACGCGGGTTCCAACTGATCTCTTTGTTTGCCCTATATATGAGAGACCACAATCACAATCAAGCTTGTACACTCCTGCATCTTGTAGAGGAATATGACACTTGACGGATGGTAAGACCTGACTAATCTTCTTCGGCGGCTTGTAGAATGTTCTAATAGAAGTTCGGTTCAAGATGTAGCCAATCTAGTCTGTGACATCTCTGACATATGGTAGTACAGCAGTCACAGCCACAGTCGAGCGGGTACCTACGGATATTTTCTAAAGCAAATCTAACAATAAACTTCCCTTGTTTATTGTTAGACCTGCTTTAGAAAATATCAGGTCACAGGACACGCTGGAAATTGGGTATTATTATTTTTAGACATTTTCTTCCGATTAACATTTATTTTAATAGCGCCATCTACTTCATTCTTAAAGTTAAGTCATTTTATCAAACCAAAATAGATTGACTCTCATGGTAGTACGCAGAAAAGACGCTAGATTACCTTAAGACGACACATCGAAAATAAACGCTTAAAATGGCTCCGCCTATTCCACCCCGCGCCCCGCTAACGACACTCGTCTCTAAAATTTTAAATTCGCGCCAAATGCTCAATCAGAGGTCAACGTGCGGTAAACAGAAAGGAATAAGCAAGCTTCGGAGTCGCGACCCACTATTTTTTTAATGTTTTTAATATTTTGCATCATTTATTGTCTTATCGTATAATAACATGTAGCTGTAAATTAAAAGAGAAATCAACAAAGTTTATATTTATTTATTGAAATAATAACTTATTCATAATTTTTAAAACTGATTATATTGTATAACAGAATTTGTAACTACGTTTGTGGTATACTTTATTCCACTTCTTTTTAGGGCCATTATGCACATTTTCTTTATTTTTCTTTTTTGTTACATAATTTGGATCCCGAATTTGTATATTTCGAGTAAATCATGGTTCTACCAATTCTGGTAGCACAGTGAAAATCAAATGAAAGACATTTTGGTTCCATTTTATCCTTCCAAAATTGGTCATCCTTAATATTGTTTCCACTTTTATTCATTATGTCTATAACATACTGTCAATAAGCATTTAGATATTTCGAAAATATGCTTCTGTCCTTGAACTTGCATGAACCACTCAGAATTTTTGTTCATCTGGATCTCACCACTTTTTTTATTTACCCACCAGAAATGCATTTTTCCTTGTATTATGACTTCGTCAATACCGACCTTATATGCAATTATGGGGCACGTGATTTCAAACAGGGTGTTACCTCCTATAATGCCGTCAGGTAAAAATGGTTGATTTTTGTCTATGAATAGACTACAAGGGTCTATCTTTACGTGTAGTAAATTTGACAGTTGTTCCAGAGCTACTTTTTCGTGTGTTCGGTCGTGGTTTATTGAAGACACGTGTCCAATTTCCGATCTGAATAACATATTTTTTACTGTACTAGCGCAACTGTTGGTTTTAATTGTTTTGACAATCTTCCCAAAATCATAGGTTGCAAGAATAGAAAAAAAAAACTCGTTAATCTCACTAATAATAATATAGAGCACAGTCACAGCGTCTCCATCGGATTACTGTCCTAATAGTGCGTATTGCGTTATATAACGACCAACGGAATGTGACCTCCACCGACGTACAAAGCCTAGGTTGAAGCAGGCAAGCCTATAGTGGATATAACAAGAGTGTGAAGTGCCGATCTAGATATACGGCCAGTCTATAGATGTTGTCTATATAGGTAGCATTTAGTCAAATGTCATGTTTTATTCCCGCAAAAAATAACTCTAAAATACAGCTATAAGCAACCACGCTTAGAAAACCTAACGATTCAAGTATCATATCGAGATGCGTATAATGCAGAGGCTTATTTTATGTATATACGATTTTGTTCTCTATTCCTTTGTGGGTAAGTACTAAGTGATTTGAATTATCTAAATGGCCAAGTTGCTTGAATCATACTGAATCTAGGTAGGCAGGTAATGTTCTTTATAACTAACTGCAAACATACGTTACTAAAATGCTACTAAAATATTTACAATGATATTATTTACTATACCAATATACTAATACTAACTATAGCTATTTGTAATAATAAAGGTCTATCTATAAGAATAGAGAGTACAAGCGAACGACTTGCGCAGGTCCACCGTTGAAGTGGACTATCGTCGGAATGGCCCTTGTGAGTATACAATTTCTATAAAAACTTTAAAACCGCCGCCGCCGCTTTATATCAAAATTCCAGTTTCGTTAGTCGTGTCATAGTCCCATACTATTCGATGAAAGGAGGTGCATTTGCACGCCGTGTCGCCTTAAACACATAAAAGTTAATATAAATCGGTAAATTATGAAATCGCGTATTGGTGTAATGATACTAAAAAATAAACAACATTTATTAAATAGATAAAATAAAATATAGTCAAGATTCGAAATTGACTCAGGACGTTTTTAAAAATACTTTATTTCAAATTTAATACTACTAACGTGCGATACATTACTTATGCTGCTTAATTAATCCGCGATGGATTCTAACTTAAAGCTACATGTCCGATACATGTGACAGTCTAACTATGACTGTCCCAATTCTCTTATTCTAGATCATTAAACTAAAGAACAGTTATCGGTGTTCACACGAAGACCACCCGTCTTCCAGACGCAATACAGCAATCTACACGCACGCTTACGCTTGAATTGTGATGGTCTCCAGTGCAGTTCCGGGAATACCTGGATGCATAACAATATATGTCAGCACCTGCTCCGTTGCACATGCAGCAGCGCCTCTGTGGGTGCTAGTAGAAATTATTGTAAACAACACGTGCACCGCACACCTGCGCATTGCCCCTGCAGTGGCGCTCGGGTAGCTACTAGTCTCGATTCTATAAAACGGACGGAGCTGCCGCCGTTAAAGCCTCCTATTTAAAACATCGTACCTTTCGTTTTAGACACGAAGGCACGCTTTCTTCACAGCGAACTATCAAGGCTGGTGTCCCTCAGGGCTCAGTACTTGCTCCTCTGCTGTACATCCTGTTCACCAACGACATTCCCATCCCGTCGAAAGGTGTTCAACTCTCCCTCTTCGCAGACGACACTGCCATCTACTGCAAAGGTGTCTCACTACCCTTCATACGGAACAAGATCCAAAAGTTAGTTGATGACCTAGGAGCTTGGTTCAAAAAATGGCGCATCGATGTGAACCCGGAGAAGAGCTCCGCCGTTCACTTCGATTATAAACGACGCCGTCTCAAAAACACTCTACCAATACGTATACTAGGGACCCCTGGCCCCTGGCATACGTCCGCCAAATATTTAGGTGTCACTCTAGACACAGGGCTTACTTTCAGGCCCCACGTCAAAAGAGTAACCCGTCACGCACGGTTTTATCTGAGTAGGCTCAACAGTATGTTGGGCCGACACAGTAAAATGTCCCTTCGAAACAAGCGTACCCTTTACAAGGTCTGTATACGACCAGTCATGTCCTACGCGGGCCCCGTCTTTGCCCACGCAAACCCTAACATTATAAATGAACTCCAAATAGTTCAGAACCTCTTCTGTCGTCGAGCTGCGAACGCACCTCGGTACGTCCATAATGCCGACCTTCATCGGGACTTAGAGCTCCCAACAATTCAACAATTCCTTAAAAAACTCTATGAGAACTTCTTCAAAGTCTCAGAGTCGCACCCAAATCAATTAACTCGTGAGGCAGCTTCTTATGCAGCCCCACCCCCCTCTCGCTATCGTGTCCGCAGGCCGAGAAACTCTCTCTCGGATCCGCCTAATAAACTGTCAAACGACCTGAACTGTCTCCTGGCGGCTCAGGCCAACTCTAATTAAACTAAATTATTGTAATAACTAACATTAATTTGCCTTCGTAGGCACTCCCTCAGCGGCACTTAGCCGCCTGCGCCCTCTTTTGCCAAAAGAGGGTCGCTCACGATAAGGCACAATAAATCTTAATCAGCCGGTTGCCTGTCCCCAAAGGCGGTTTTTAGAGGGTATCACTTAGGGTCCCCGGTAGGACAGTGAGCCCCTCATAACCACGATAGACCGGCTATCGTGGTATGCGTAATGCATTTTCCGCCTCCCTACGTATAGGGTAGCCCTTTAATTGCTTCGGGCGCAAAAAAAAAAAGCCGTTAAAGCAGTCTTGGCTCTGGCGTGGCTCGGTGCACTTGTTGTACTCCGCTACTAACTCAACCTCGACTCTTCGGATAATTAATTCGTGGAAACGAATTAATTATTATTCTCAGCTATTAAATTAGTCTCAGCACTATTTATAGTTGATTATCTCTGATCTGTGTATTTCATGATTTTATGAAGTGATAATAAAGTTTTCCATAATAAACCTAGATTTTAATATCTTCCCACATATATAATAATATTTAATTAAATTATCATGTTTGTCCAATCCATGATTACAAAACTTACCGATTAATATTACTTCTTTTTGGTTTACTAGATGTAATGACTTTAACAATAGATTGAAATAATACTAGTTTTTACGGAATTTATCGCGTGTATTTAACTTTTTGTCAAGTGTAATGTCCATCTGCAAGATGCAGGAGTGTACAAGCTTGATTGTGAATGTGGTCTATCCTACATAGGACAAACTAAAAGATCAATAAAAACCCGCGTTAAAGAACATATAGCTGATGTGAAGAATCGACGCTCCGGGAAGTCTGCAGTCTGTGAACACGTACAGGATCGCCCCCGTCACTACATCAGATTTGATAGACCACAAATCCTCGCTAAAGAACACCGATTCCTTCCAAGGATGATTCGCGAGGCTATTGAAATCAAAAAACATCCTATTTTCAATAGAGAAGATGGCTGGGTGCTACCATCTGCTTGGGATCCTATAATAAATAAAATTAAATCCCAACCCAAGCATACAACTGCAAGACTTCAAGATACCATAAGTTCATACTGCATAGATCGGAACAAGAGTTAAATTTTAATCTATGGTAACCGCGGTTAACTATGACATATGGACGTTGAACATCTCAGTCCCGCCCGTGACCATGAGTGCTGTAAAGCGTTCGAAACGTCAGGTATTTAAAAAGTTAAATATACGCGATAAATTCCGTAAAAACTAGTATTATTTCAATGTGTAGTGTTCGCGTAAATATAAGAAATCATTATCATCATCATTAATATTTAACAATAGAATATAGCCGATGGCGTTATTACTTGCCTCCTTCTGCGTGTGAGCTGCATACATGTTTTTGTTAAGCCCCGGATACACTAGGGGACATTTTGTTCCGCAACATAACGCGGAACACTCAATCTACGTGACGATGCAACGTTGCGCAGTGACCCGCAACATTTTACGTGACACGGGACATGTTGCATGTTCCGGCTCCGAGAGCGAGCGCACATGTCCCGCGTCAATTTCGCGCCATTTTGTTAATGCAATGGCAAGTCTGATATGAGGGCCAACAACGTTCCGTAGTGTTGTATCCAGTTTGGCTATGGAAGGTCTGATCATTTGTAGTAAAGTTTCAGAATCACATGTTGACATTCGAGTAAAATTCGCAAAAGACCCATCAGACATTCGGAGATCATATAAAATATTAATTCTTTTATCTTCTCGTTCTAGTAAGAAATTCCGCATCCACCACCTTCTCTTTCGCTTACGTTTTACTCCCGAAGTAAGTACTATGTACGCAGCACCAATTGCCACAACCTCCTCGGGCGACATGTCTATAAGCACTGACTCGTGTGGCCCGCAAAATGTTCCACGACATATGTGTCGGGACATTTCACGTAATTGTTGAGCGACATGTTGCGCAACATGCAGCTCCTTTTGTCCCTAAGTATATCCAAGGCTTTATCTATATAATAATTATTATTGTGTCAAACGCGATCGATCACTCTTTCTAAAATAAATACCTTGGTATCTATTTTAAATAAAATTAATATAAAATTAAAGTACATAATTCAAGCCAAGATACTGCAGACGCGTTTGTATGTGACTTTGAGATAATCATGAAAATTACTTAAGTTACAACTTTACTTAACTTTACTAAGTTTATAAGATACGAAAACTGCCAATATTTTAATTTTATTGAGCTTACCGCTAATAACGAATTTGTTTGTGTAGCGGCGCTGCCGTCGCCGCCACAAGCGAAAACACACCGAAGTCTAAATCGCGCTATCAACATTCCGAATCATAAACAGTATATATAGAACATCTCCGAACTATCACTTGGAGTGTGAGCCGCTCCCCGGGCAGAACACCTTGCCCGGCGGGAGATCTCCCCTTTTCCTACCACGGCCACAGTGGTGACCCCGACGTGATCTGAACACGCAACCAAACAACCTTCTCAAACTTCAAGCTTCATCAACGTCATAGAATACCCCACCCATTCGCTCCCGAACAGATATTGTCTGCAGTCTTCATATCCTGCAAGCCATCTAGCTTCACAAGGTTCATCGCAGCACTGGAATAATAATGCTTCCTGTTCCTTCAAGCTACTCTCTGCGCTATACAGTGTTCGGCACGGCTCTGAGCCTTACTGCTCGCCTCTGCTTCACGGCACTCTCGCAGATTACTTGCCTTCTTCTCGACTCACCGCAGACAAGGCAATCTCCTGGCACTTGCACATTCGTCGGCAACGAGGCTGCACTATCGACCTCCGGTCTGAGCAGGGGGGTGATGTAGCGGCGCTGCCGTCGCCGCCACAAGCGAAAACACACCGAAGCCTAAATCGCGCTATCAACATTCCGAATCATAAACAGTATATATAGAACATCTCCGAATTATCACACGGAGTGTTGGCCGCTCCCCGGGCAGAACACCTTGCCCGGCGGGAGATCTCCCCTTTTCCTACCACGGCCACAGTTTGTTTGAGCGGAAGACTGTTGTAATCATGAATTGAATTACTATATACTTTATTGTACGTAATGGCCTACGTTCACGATTTGAATGATCGACCTGAATGACCTGAACTTGTGTTTATCTCCCACCACTTTTCGTCACACTAAAAGGTTGCAGATCAGAACTTCGAACCCCTCCGGTAAAAAGTTTCAATTCAAGGATCATAAAACAATTGAGATAACACACAAAATGAAATAAAATGTGTTCCATCAAAATTTATGTCAAAAAATCAAGTTTCTAATTCTACTCACTCAATTCAAGTCTGAAAAACTATTACGGTTTAATTGTAACAAATGTACCTCCATTAAGTGCTGCTTAAGGTCACTGATTTTTCTGAATTTCATGTTGCATATAGAGCAGTCCGCTTCGATGTTCCTCTCTTGGTGTTCCAGCCACATGTGGTCCCATTTCTCCTTCAAGCTCCCTAACCTCTTCTTGCATATCATACATGCAAAATACCTGCAATCGCGCATGTGTTTGTATTTTAAGTGTCTTTTCAACTTTGCTTCGGTAAAAAATGACATGTCACACTGTAGGCAAGTGGCGGGCGGGCGTGCTTCGTGTTTCTGAAATCAAAGGCAGACATTATAACGTGTAGTTGTTTAACAGTGTTTAGTTTTATACACTCTATTTTAGTTTTATTATCTAGAGTATACAGCAGTGTGTCAGTCAAGTTTTTTTTTTACTTTCACATAGTTTCACCAGTTTCACCAGTGCTTGACCATAATCACACCTGGTGATAAGTGGTGACGTAGCCCTACATTGTATATCACACAGTCTTAGCGTGATAAATCCTATTCACTATTGCCTTGAAGACGCCCAGATAGTATTCGCACGGAAAGATAGACGACGCCAAATTATTCCACTCCTTTGCTGTACACATTACAAAGAACGAAGTAAACCGTTTGGTTCTAATGCGTGGAATATCGACAACAAAGATGTGAAGACCCACCAACCGCCTGTCTGTCTGATGGTAGAAAGGAGAGGGCAGAATTAAAGCATGTATTTCCTGCGCACAAGTTGCAAAAAGAAAAAGGGCGACTCACCGACAGCTTGTATATTTACATATTTCTTTTATAAAAAAAACACCTCCACACTAGGATTTCCTCATGAATCGTCGAGCAGTTTACAAACAAAATTGCACAGGGACAAACAACCAGACCCGGAACAATTATTTGTTCCGAGTAAACAATTATTCGTTGTAACAAATACTCGATCCGTGCGCGATTTTAACCCGCGGTAGTCTTATTTCAAAAAATTGTATTGCCACGCACCGGGCACAGCTAATCTAATTAAAAAAAATATGAAGCATTTTATGCTAGTGATTGTATTCGCAAATAAATATTTCAAACCGTTATCATGTCATCACAACAATGAATGATTTGTGTCGAAAGGTTTTGGTTTTCAAAACCTATTGAAAAACACGCTTTGTTCCTTGAAATGTCAAACATGTTTCACTTCAACATATTCTTTGATAATGCAAACGCAACACGATACATTGTCAAATACATTTCATACCGTTTTCATCTCAACACATCATTGAATGATTTTTGTCGAAATGCTTTGGTTTTCAAAACCAGTTGTAAAACATGTTTTGTTCTTTGAAATGTCAAACATAATTCACTTCAACATATTGTTTATAAAACCGCAATGCAAACGCAACACGATATATTGTCAAAAACATTTCATCTCATTTTCATTTCAACACAACATTGAATGATTTGTGTCGAAATATTTTGGTTTTCAAAACCTGTTATAAAATGCTTTGTTCTACGAAATGTCAAACATGTTTCACTTACGGGTAGACAAAACATGTTTGGCGATTGCTCACTCACAACAACTCACGGATTTTTTCGGGGGTACTGTCATTTGAAACGGCTCAGTCGAACTGACACACATCCAAAAACTGATCGTGAGTGGGAAATCTCAAGTTGAAATTTTTAACTGATGGCACTCCACGGAGTTTTCCAGGCGTACCGTAATCCGCTGGCTTCAGTTCGTTTTAACTACTGATATGTACCTACTTTCCTAGTTGCTGCTTACATTATTTCTACGCTATTTACATTTTTTATTATTTGTATATATTTAGAGAATTTTGTTTGACGGAGGATGAAGACTAATGGCCCGGCTACACGCTCCGTCTTACCTGTGAGCATGCCTGCACAAATCACAAACCAGTATGCTGCGCGTGCGTGTGGACGGCAAGATGGTAGCTCGCGCAGACGACTTGCGTAATCGTTGACGTGCTGAAGATTGGACTGCGCGGGCTTAGTTTGCACGGTTGTGCCTGCGAGCTTACTTGAGCGTGTGGCCGGTTATTCAAGCCGCGCTTCAATCCGTCTAAATTATTTTTAACGACACATGTCATGTTATAAAATATTAAATTAAAAAAAATAATCTGTACGCAATTATTCTAGGGATTTTTAACTGACCTATGAAGTCATAGGATTGTACAAATCGTTGCCGGCGTTGTGGAAAATTAAGAGTAAGGAATATTCCGACAGGAACAAAAAAATAAAGCTTATCATTTATTAATTAAAAAACTAGGCGGTATGTAAATATAACCTTAGTACCTTTTTAATGATGTGTAATAAATATCTTGGATTAACAACTTGCTGTTTGTAATATTGTTAAAAGACTTCCAAAAATAAAGCAGGTTATCAATTCGATACGTATGTACGTAATAAATTGCAAGATATTCACAATATATATGCAATAATATAAAAAAAACACCTCTTCTGGGCACATCATGACGTGACGAGCTCTCAAAACACTTTGAGGTTTGCACAGTCCAGTTTGCGCGAGATTACCTGCACGAGCCATTGTACAGTCATGACTGCATAGGCCCAGACTGCGCAGGCAAAATGGAGCGTGTAGCCGGGCCATAAGGTGATTGTGATGATGTCACCTTCCTTATGATTGACTCTGAAGATGGGTAAAGGATCTCAGTGATGCTACGTAGAACCATCGTGGTTTTTTTTAACTCATTTTCAAAAAGCTTCACGAAGACCTAGATGATTGTGATGATATCACATAGCTGATGGTGGACCCCGAAGATGGGTTTAAAAGATATCAGTGACGTCACTTCATAGAATCATTGTGTTTAGACTCACTTGAAAGGTACTCATAACGACCTAGATGACTGTGATGATTTTACCTTCCTTATAGTGGATCTGAGGGTAAGTTTAGGATCTCAGTGACGGCACTACATAGAACCACTGTGTTTGGACTCATTTGGAAGGGCTCATAAAGAACCAGGTAACTGTGATAATCTCACATTCCCGTTGGCGGACTCAATATCAGGGCGAACGATCTCAGTTATGCAGCTACGAAGAACTACCGTTTTCAGACTCATATACATACAAAGGTGCCTGTAATGATCTCACCTACCTGATGATGGTGGACTCCGAAGATTAGTATAGGAACTCAGTGAAGGCACTAGATAGAATGATCGTATTTCATCTCATTTGAAAGGGTTCATAAAGACCTAGGTGACAGTTACGATGTCACCTTTCTGATGGTGCAATCTGAAGGTGTCTATAGGATCTCAGTGACGGCACTAGATAAGATGATCGTGTTTGACCTCATTTTAAAGGGCTCATAAAGACCTAGGTGACAGTTATGATCACATCTTTCTGATGGTGCAATCTGAAGGTGAGTATAGGATCACAGTGACGGCACTAGACAAGATGATCGTGTTTGACCTCATTTTAAAGGGCTCATAAAGACCTAGGTAACAGTTATGATCTCACCTGATGGTGCAATCTGAAATTGTGTATAGGATCTCAGAGACGGCACTAGATAAGATGATCGTGTTTGACTTCATTTGAAAGGGTTCATAAAGACCTAGGTGACAGTTACGATCTCACCTTTCCGATGGTGCAATCTGAAGGTGTATAGAAACTCAGTGAAGGCACTAGATAGAATGATCGTATTTCATCTCATTTGAAAGGGTTCATAAAGACCTAGGTGACAGTTACGATGTCACCTTTCTGATGGTGCAATCTGGGTGACTATGATCTCAGTGACGGCACTAGATAAGATGATCGTGTTTGACCTCATTTTAAAGGGCTCATAAAGACCTAGGTGAAAGTTATGAACTCACCTTTCTGATGGTGCAATCTGAAGGTATGTATAAGATCTCAGTGACGGCACTAGATATAATGATCGTATTTCATCTCATTTGAAAGGGCTCATAAAAACCTAGGTGACAGTTACCATGTCACCTTTCTGATGGTGCAATCTGAAGGTGTATAGGAACTCAGTGAAGGCACTAGATTGAATGATCGTATTTCATCTCATTTGAAAGGGTTCATAAAATCCTAGGTGACAGTTACGATGTCACCTTTCTGATGGTGCAATCTGAAGGTGTATAGGAACTCAGTGAAGGCAATAGATAGGATGATCGTTTTTCATCTCATTTGAAAGGGTTCATAAAGATCTAGGTGACAGTTACGATGTCACCTTTCTGATGGTGCAATCTGAAGGTGACTATAGTATCTCAGTGACGTCACTAGATAGGATGATCGTGTTTGACCTCATTTTAAAGGGCTCATAAAGACCTAGGTGACAGTTATGATCACATCTTTCTGATGGAGCAAACTGAAGGTGTGTATAGGATCTCAGTGACGGCATTAGATAAGATGATCGTGTTTGACCTCATTTGAAAGGGCTCATAAGACCTCGGTGACAGTTATGATCTCACCTTTCTGATGGTGCAATCTGAAGGTGACTATAGGATCTCAGTGACGGCATTAGATAAGATGATCGTGTTTGACCTCATTTGAAAGGGCTCTTAAGACCTAGGTGACAGTTATGATCTCACCTTTCTGATGGTGCAATCTGAAGGTGACTATAGGATCTCAGTGACGGCATTAGATAAGATGATCGTGTTTGACCTCATTTGAAAGGGCTCATAAGACCTAGGTGAGAGTTATGATCTCACCTTTCTGATGGTGCAATCTGAAGGTGACTATAGGATCTCAGTGACGGCATTAGATAAGATGATCGTGTTTGACCTCATTTGAAAGGGCTCATAAGACCTAGGTGACAGTTATGATCTCACCTTTCTGATGGTGCAATCTGAAGGTGTGTATAGGATCTCAGTGACGGCATTAGATAAGATGATCGTGTTTGACCTCATTTAAAAGGGCTCATAAGACCTAGGTGACAGTTATGATCTCACCTTTCCGATGGTGCAATCTGAAGGTGACTACAGGATCTCAGTGACGGCACTAGATAAGACGATCGTGTTTGACCTCATTTTAAAGCGCTCATAAAGACCTAGTTGACAATTATGATCTCACCTATGAGTGAAGTTTGTAAACAGTGAAAATTTATTATTTATAAAACTCAACATATTTGATTATAAAACAAATCAAATAATAAGTTTATTAATTCTGGACAAACAAGTCCATTTTATCATTTTTGTACAATCTCATGCTTGGGCCACACTAACGAGAAATGCCGTTAATTATAGCGTTGATGGACGTTGAATGTAGGTGTGGCCACAACTTAACGCGTTAATTTGACAATAGCATTAACAATGCCATTTGCCGTTTGGCGA